GTGCATGTGTGCAAGGCTTTGCAGTTAGGTGCATGTTGGCGAGGCTTTGCAGTTAGGTGCATGTTGGCGAGGCTTTGCAGTTAGGTGCATGTTGGCGAGGCTTTGCAGTTAGGTGCAAGTTTGCGAGGCTTTGCAGTTAGGTGCATGTGTGCGAGGCTTTGCAGTTAGGTGCATGTTGGCGAGGCTTTGCAGTTAGGTGCAAGTTTGCGAGGCTTTGCAGTTAGGTGCATGTTTGCGAGGCTTTGCAGTTAGGTGCATGTCTGCGAGGCTTTGTGGTTAGGTGCATGAGTGTGAGGCTTTGCAGCCAGCTCGTGTTTGCGAGGCTTTGAAAGCCAGTGTTTGTCTAACTGTCTGCACACTGTTTTAACGGTACAACCAATTCCAACAGCTTGCCAGCCACTCTGCTCATGCATCTCCACATGTCTGACTTCATTGATTAATGAAACAGTTGTTACATCTGGCTGATTTTGGTGGTAATTTGGATACATCAGCTGGAACTGCTGCCCTCTATAGGGCACATTTTGACACAGAAAATGGCAAATATATCCATCCATCCATTAATTTTTCAATGCCTTTTAGCTCTTACATAGCCGCAGTGAGTCTGGAGTTTCCAGGGGACACGCTGTAAGCAATGGCCGTCTGCCTCCAGTTGGGTACGCACACTATCACACTGTGGACAATGAGCCACTCATTAAACATCATTTTATGCTGAAGCTTCTCTGAGAAGCTACAATGTCCCCATAGACTCATCATCCTGCACCTTGAGTTGCTCATTGACCCTGTAAGTTCATGCTTGATCCCTTAACAAATGCTACATTGGCTACTGTGTTGAGTTTCTAAATCCATTTATGTGGTGGTGTGGGAGAGAGATGCATTGCTGCGGATACCAGATAATGTTGGGGGCGAACAATGTTATTCCAGTCGAGTAAATAGTTCTTTATACATGTGATCACACACAGCAGCAAATGTCCTTCGAAGCTCCTTCAATGTGCAAAGTTCTGCCCCCGTCCCCCCCCGAAAAACAATTTTGTGGTTCCATGGAGAACTATTCCAAGGATATAAATGTTTTCAGATAACGGTATAGACAGCCCATTAGGCTTAAAGAGTTGTGCCCAAAAATGTAAGAATCTTACAGTTGAAGAGGAACACAATGTTGGCACACAATCAGCAATCTGATGAAGAACCATGAGAGTCGGTAAAAGACCAAAGAGAAGAGAGCAAAGTAAATCAAAGGCATGTCATTTATCTACAGGCCCATGATGCAGGTTTAAGTTTGGTTTACATCCCCTGCTAATTATTAATGCCTGACTAATTTCAGCTCGAAAGTAAACATCACAAGCACAAGCACAGCCCCAGGAGCACGGCAAGGCAAAGCCGGCTTGTTAGGCAGCAGACAATGCTGGTGACTAGGTTTTTGGTTGTACAACCCTCTGATTAAACTTTGGTGAAGCATGTGACCACACAATCACACCGCATGGCTACTGGCACAGGCTGCTGATTTCAGTTGTAAGTTGCTGTCATGGAAACATTCCCATACCCAATCAGAGTGCTCACTGACTCATGGGATACATTCCTTCAGTGAAACTCAGGTGAGTTTGTGGGGCCCTTTCACTGAGGTGCAGAGGTACGTACTCAGCTGGGACATAAGGGCTGCAGAATGAGACGCTGTCAGTCTAATGAAAACGTTTCTCTAGAGGACATGGTGCCTGGCAACAAGGTATAGTACAGTATTGAACTGTAGTTTGTTCAAAGATCGTCGATGGGCTGAATTTCTTTCTCACGTTTATTTCTGTAATGGTAAAAAGACGTGCACAAAATGACACTTGGTCAGTGCAGCTCGTCTACTGAAAATGTTTAAGGTTCTACAGCAGCAGACAAGACAGATATTAAAGCTTTTTAAAGTACAAAGACTGCATTCTGGTACCACTGGTGCTGACATCCATTCTGGAGAGGTACTGCAGGGTATGCATCTCCTTCCAGGTTCTGCTGCCGTCCAAAGTAAACCAGGGGCAGAATTTTAATTGCCTGTGGCTTCTCAGTTGGAATATAGCGGAAGTTGCTATGTTAATTAAATAGCTTTGTCAAGGGTGTATCTGTGAGGCCCATCTAAGCTGAGTTTGGGTCAACGCTGGTTTTTCTGTTATGAGGTTCTGAGTCTCCTCAAGCTGTAGCTCCTCAAAGCCTGATTCTTCTTGCAGGTCATCCCTCCCTCCTGCTTCTCTTGCAGCACTAAAGCATCTAACAGGAGATTCTACTGCATGTGTCGCCTCGCTTGGCCTTTGCTGTGCCCGTCTTTCTCTGTCAAACCTTTCGTAGATGTTTTAACAGGTCATTACAGCGTTAATTTTAATGCCCTGTTTCAACTGAACTGTTTCCAAATCGAAAGATATTCTGGATATGTCATTTCATTATGAAATCACATTTTAAAACAAAAAATAAGGACAACCAAACCCTCTCAAGTGAGTATTCAGAAGAAAATCTGAACATTTGTTTCTGTTTTCATTTAGGATGAAAGTCATTATCTTAAGTCTGCAGTAAGTTCTAAACTGCGGGAAATGGGGGCACCGATAACAGCTGAAAAGGACTCTTTGAAGGGACAGGCAGCTTGTGTTTAAATTGGCTTTGCCCATTCAGAATTGTTTGGTCCCTCAGTAAACAAACGTGCCCTCCGCTGAGTGCATAATCACAGAGCACTGCCGCTCATTTTTCTGAACTACTTCGCCCAATCCACTTCTCTCATAAAAAAAGAAAAATGCATATTGAATGTTCTTAGCAACCGCTCTACTGATAGTGGTTTCTGGAAACCAAAAAGACATTTTACACAAATGAGTTATTACCATAAATTGCAATGTTGTTTTAAAGCATTACATTGCCCAGCCAGAACCAAAGCTAAGTCTTCAAAGAATCCTTTGTATTACAATTGTAAACTAAGTGGAATATAACCTATCAAATTTATATTAGTAACAACGGATAAAATAACATTGATTTATAATAAGAAAATTAGTTCATAGAGATATCAATGACTGAATTTTTTGCAGCCTATATACTTTTACTAATTCCAACAAACAGAAAACTATAAACCAAATACAGTGGTACCTCGGTTCTCGGATCGAATTCTATAAAAAGTTCGAGTTCTTATCGAATTTTTCCCATAAGAAATAATGGAAAACCAATTAATTGGTTCCCGGCCCCCCAAAATTACACCTAAATATATATATATATATATATATATATAAGCATTTAAACACAAAATGAACAGGATAAAACAAGTAGAGCATTTTTTTCTTAATGGCTTCCAAAACGATAAAGATCTTATCCCAACATTACCCCTGTCCTGCCCCAATCGTCCGCACGTTCCGTGTGCCACGCCCCCTCGTTAACCTCGTGTGGAATCCCCGTGTGATCAGCTGTTTCTGGTTGTTGTCATTAGTCCTCTGTATTAAATCCTCGTTTCAGTTTGTTTCCCCAGTCCGGTCATTGGGTGCGTTCGACTTGCTTACAGCGCTGGCTTAATGCAACGCATTCTGATCCTGACGCAATGCATTACGGTTAGATGCATTGCGATCTCTCACCCGGCTGCACAAACTGGAACCGCCTCCGTGACGACACACCTTTGCCCTTATTGGATGAAAAGTTTAGTTACACGCATGACGTTTGTATCCCAGGGCCCAGGCACTTCCGATGCGTAATCTGCTATTTCTTCCGAATATCACGTAAAGCAGTGAGAACTGGTTTTCAGTTAATTTACCTGGTAAAATAAAGTTTAAATAAATGACATAAATGCTCTAATAGTACACGTAAGTTAGTGGTTTGTTTATTTATTGTTAGTTACTGTAATATTGCGCTGCTTTATTTGGTTAATCGTCCAGTCTGTGAAGAAGGCATTCAAGTAAGAAGTGCATTGTAGTCTGTACATGACAATAAAAACTTTGAATCCGGTCCATTGTTTATTTTTATTATTACTCTGTATTCGTTAATTTGTTCGTGAATAGCAAAGTTTTAGGTTGTAACATTTGTACAACTATTACGTAACTTTTTGGTGAGCAATGGCTAACAAAATGATATAAAGTACAGTGTATTACCTGATACAGTATTTTCAATAAAATAGCATTATCACCAACAAGCGCTGATACTACAGCAAACGCGAGGCTGACACTGAAGCGTTACCTTTTGTTTCCGCTCAGAGACGTGCCGTGTGACTCATTTCCTGGCGCGTACAATTTATATTAGGTCAGCGTTCACGGTTAGAATTCTGATATTCAGATCGAGTTCTAGGTCAAACTGGTTTGTTCGACTTTCAAGAAATTTGAGTTATAGTGAGTTCGAGAACTGAGGTACCACTGTATACTACATTAGTGAATTAGGAAAATATCGTTCGACAATAAAACAAGTGGTCAAAGGTTAAATAAAGGTTCAAATAAAACCATCGACTGTATGCGCTATATAGTATATAAAAGAGGTGTGTGTAGGACATCTACTGGTAGAAACAAAGGACTGCTGTCCTACAGCAATTTATGAGTTTTCAATACAGCTAAATTATTGTCCCTACAGGAAAGTTTAAAAGTTAAATAAATAAATAACTTAGATTTTAAAATCTCTCTCGGCCATATATACAGCTAATTATCAGGTGAAATCATGCTAGGACACCCGCGCCAGGCACCGATTTCAGGGTAAATACGGTAGACCGGCTCCTTCGGAAACTTTCATTTCAAACAAATCAAGACAAGTCAACTTTTTCCGCATAAGTCGCTGACGGCAGTTCAGCGTTGACCGTCTGACAAGGTTTTTTTTTTTTTAGTTTTGTGGGACTTGACATGAATTGCTTTGAATGCAAGTTACATGCACGAACCAGCTTCCAGTGCAGGCTGTGCACCCGAATTCCGGACCATCCCCGGCGAGAGTGCTTTCCGTGCCGTCTGTATTATTGCTTTTATGCACCGCTTAAACCCGTCCACCTCTCGGCTGGTCCATCTCACTCAGTGATCTCAGCTCAGTCCTGCCCCTATCGGGAAGCTGATCATCAGGGGACATAATCTCCCTCGGGAGCTTTATACTGTAAATATATAATTGTATACCCTCAGGTGGCAGAATTTGGGGATCGTGTAAAATGTGCGATTTGCGTCCGGTGTGCTGTAGGAACAGGGGGTGTAAGGAAACCCTTGGCATGGAGGACGCAGAGGCGCACATGCGGGAAAGCTGCGCCTACAGGGCGGTCGGCATGTGCCAGCAGGGATGCGGCTCTCTTCTGCTCCACCAAGACCTGGTCCGGGGCCACTGCTGCTTATCCACCCTCCGCGCCCAGAACGCCGTGCTGAGGGCGAAGCTCGCTCATCTGGACCTGGAGGCCAAGGAGCAGAAGGTCCGCTGGGACGACAGGGAGCGGGACCTGCTGACGCAGGTGCGCGGGATGCGCAGGGAAGCCCGGCTCGCGGCGCTCCGGTACCGGCACCAGCTGCACCAGTACATGGTCCTCATCAGGAAGGTGACCCAACAAGTTCTTGGGCGTGTCAAGGTGAGCATTTCCAATGCATAATGTTAAGAACCTACCCGGCAAGTATTGATGCACAGATTAAATGTATTACTTAAAAGACAAATGGCTTACATTGCTTGGGGTCTTCTGATAATCGAATGCTAAGTAAAATGCAAATTCAGTAGGAATTGACACTTGTCAATTGCGAAAGAGAATTTCACAATTCCGATTGCATTACCTGCCCTGCTGTGTATTTAAACATGGAGGGTCGGGCCGCTTAATTCAGCTTTAGTATTGTACTGTATGTAAAAGCGGGATTCCCCGTGGAAGGGAAAATGTGGCGCGTTGTGTTTTGGCTTGGCTGGGATTTTTCCTCGAGAGCTCTTTCTGTTTTCAGGAGGAAACTGGACCTTAGCGCTAAATACAGCTAACAAGTTGGCAGTTTGTTACAGGCAGTCCGTGAAGGTTAAATAAAATATTTAAAAGGTATTTGATATTCAAGTAAATAGGCTGTGCAATCCTAGCTTGAACAAGACTTTAGGTGTTTCTGTTTACTGGCCAACTGGTACCATTAGTTTTCGTATTAGTTGGGTCTATTTGAATAATTTTTGGTTTACAGATGTTATGATTTTTTCCAGGGTGGAGATGAGGCTCATGTGAGTGTGAGTCTCCCCAGGAATAAAGACTCCTTGGCAATTAATGACATGAGTACAATGTCCTGTCAGGTACGCACTGCACTCTGCCCCCGTTTGGCTTGTCAGATTCTACCTATAGTCACCATTTCCTTTTGGACTGTGTGAGACAGCTGCCTTTTTTAAGGGGCTGTGCTGTATTTTCATGTATGCTTGTTGTGCTTCTTCCCTCAGAAAAACGTGGGACCTGAGGTCTCCAGCAGAGCTCTGCAGGTACAGTGCCTTGTGTCGGTAGCCCCGTGTGGTCAGTGCCCTGCAGGTACAGTGCCTTGTGTCGGTAGCCCCGTGTGGTCAGTGCCCTGCAGGTACAGTGCCTTGTGTCAGTAGCCCCGTGTGGTCAGTGCCCTGCAGGTACAGTGCCTTGTGTCGGTAGCCCTGTGTGGTCAGTGCCCTCCTCTCGCAGTCACGCAGTAGGGACGCACTGGCCTGTCTCACCAGCCGTTCTATGACCTTTGCCATTTCTGTAGTTATTAAACCAGCACTTTTCAGCTCTGGTAGCAGAAGTGAGTCAGAACTTTAAAAAGAATCACACTTTGCAGAGAAAATGGTTTCCATATGTATAGTTTGCTAAAACTTATTGTGAAAATTCCCCCCATCTGCAAAAAATGAATGTCTTATTTTTGTTCAGACACATTATGGTCCTTGCAATTATACATGGAAATATGGCATCTCCTCATCCTGTACTATAAAATAACAGGGTTCTAACCATGAATTAGCTTATGTGTAATAAGCTTGCTGCTATTAATTGTGGTCATCGTCAATGTTCTGGAAGCCTCTAGCGGGTCTGAATGGCTGCACGTTTTGCTTTCATTAGGAGGCGTATTCGTTTACCTCCCATTGCTTGTGCTGGGTAATGAAACACCTCCAGAAGATGACAACCCCTGATTTAATTGCTTTTCACCTTTTGTATTCTGGAAACTTCTAATTTCGAAGTACTTCAAAAAAACCAGAGAATGAAGTTAATTGAGATCCAAACTGTTTAGCATATCATTATAAACTTAAAACAAATGAGAGGAATGTAATGGAATGAATATGATAATGTTCTACACACATTTCTAAATTGCACATGTGAAATGGTGTTTGTATTTTTCATTTTCTGGATTTCCTGACTGTCTGTTGTTTTAGTTATATGGTTTTGGGATGGAGACCATTTTTCTTCCCCAGCGAATGAACTCACCTTTCCAAAGAGGAGTTCTGGAAACTATCATTTATTTCTCTGGCTGGGGACGACCTTCACAGCCTCTGGGGACGACCTTCACAAGGCAGGCTGTCCTTATGCAGCTGATGGTTTCTGAGAGACAAAGAGTTTTCTAAATCATCCTCATCCTGGAAAATGAGTGGTGCTGATGCAGAAAAGCAAGGAAGTTGGCTTCACTGGGAAGGAGGAATCTCTGAATCCTTTGGGCATCTGTTCTCTTCACAGACTGCCAGTGTTTTTTTCTTTTTGGGAAGGATGACTAATTGAGGGGAAGACTTGGCATGTCGCTCTCCAACAGACACGGATCTCCATCCATTTGAATTTCCTTTACACTGCTTATCCAATGCAGGCTCATAGCGCTTATTCCAGGAAGCTGCGGTCATGTGACTGGGTACACCCTGTCGAGGATGCCCCCCCCCCCCGAGTTCACCTAGGCCGGTTCACCTAAACTGCATGGTCGGCAGTTCTGACTTTGGAAGGACACACACACACACTTACAGACAAACACAGACTCGCATACACACAGAGCCAGGACAGGAAACAAATGCACATCCCTGGAGGAATGAGCTCAGCCGGCTGAGCTGCTGCACTACACAAACACAGATCACTAAACTATATTTTTAAAGGAGTGAGTCAGAAGCAGCCATTCTGTACTTCTGCGTCACATTGGCATGAAACCCACCCGAGCTCCTCATTTTCGTGCTTGAAGTCACATGTGGTTTATGAGACGGGGGGCAGAAGTGAAAGGCAGTGCGCGGATTTCCAGGAGTCCGGCGAGAGCCTCCCTGGGCAGAGGCCTGCGTGGTGAGCTGTGCCATTTCTCCCATTGACATGCAGAGACCTTGGCCACTGATTGGAACCCAGAGACCACAAACAGTGTAACGTCATCAGGATCCAGCCTCCACTTACAGGACTGAATGGAGGCTCTTTTGTTGAGTCTCAGTACATCCAAGACACCAAAATTAGGATGAAAAGGAAATATTTCTGGCCTGTTGCATCTTGTTGGGTGATTTTAGTTTGTGAGACAACATAAAAGGTAAGTGAAATATCAAAGGGTTCTGTAAGATAAGATAAATGAGTTTGACTTTCAAGGTCAAGTTCACCCATAGAGTGAAGAGAATGCCGTGAAATCAAAGCTGATTTAAAGAAGGAAACCTGATCACTTGTTGAGAGGTGGAAGGTGGTTTTCTTTGGACACTGTTCCTCCGCCTTTGATCGACCCAATAAGAAATGGCCACACCTTTGGTGGGGGGTAAATCAAAGGGCCTCACATGCACGGAAACAGTAGCTGCACCAAGAAGCATAAGAGAAAGCAGAAGATTTCCGGCGTTCTGCTGCAGTGTGTCCTAAGAAACCCCCGCATGTTTGATGTGACCCAGTGTAAGAATGCCTGTCAAGTGGACGCATTTAAGTAATAATGCTTTTGAAATGTGCCCAGTGCTTGAGCCGTCTATTCATGGCCCACTGTGAAATCCACCGTTGCTGTCAATGATGAAATGAATAGAGGGCTGGGATCAGCATGATGGAAAGACTTGCACACTAGCTGCCAATATGTCCTGGGTTTACCGTCCAAGTTAATGCTTGAAAATCCTCAGGTTATTATATAGAAACCAAGGGTGACAAGAGAGGTGCACATGGTAGCCTCTGTCCCGACATGGTGAATGATCTGTGGGAAAGGCAGTGTGACCCATTTGCTCAGAAGCCCAGCATACTCGCTGCTCTGAAAGCTACACGCATCAGTAGCTCGCTGATGGTGCTTCACAGAGCCTTCTCCATACTTGACAGTTGACGGTTGAGGTTGTCACATGTGCGCCAAGGAACCTGAACTCATTACATCTGCCAGATGCCTTGGTTAGTTAAACTGTCTGCCATTAACTTCTATGTGAAGGTTTCTGGAACCCAAGCCCACCTTTTCTGCTCATTCTTGCAGGGGACTGACAGTTACTATCTACACTGAGAAAGACAATGAGCCCGAAAGGCTTCATGTCTCCCTGATTCAATAACCAAAGAGATCTAGCTGGTAACACAAAGGCTTCCTCTTGGTTAGAGTTAAAGGAATTGGATGGTTCATCCCTGTAGGTTTCCTGTGTCATTCTGACGAGCAGATTCCAGTTTGAATAGTCTCTGGGTAGTGCTGGTGTTTGGCCTGTGGAGGTTCTGCGTTGTCTGCTGTTTTAGGCAGAAGGTGTGCAGAATGAGGATCGTCACACCTGCCCCGTTAGTGGTCTCAGAATCAGAAATGCTGTCATCAGTGAGCGAGGAAGTATAGGAGGTCTGGAGAGGAAAGGGGGGATATCTTGTGATTGTCATGAATTATGCAGCACAGACCAGGGAAGCAGGCAAAGGAGATCAGGAATGGGGTAAAATAAAGGGGTTTAATTGGCAAACGAAGGGGCATAAGGAACAAACAGCATACCAACGCACAACACTACAATGACAGAACTGGGGAAACAAACTCTGACGTGGACTTATGGTGCGTTCGTTTTTCTCTCGGAACTCGGAAATTCCGAGTTGAGTGACATCACGTCCGACAATCTCCCATTCGAGCTACCCACATCTCGGAACAAACATGGCTGCCTCCATGAACACGTTGCTGTGTGTTGTTGCTTTATATTTTAGCAGATTTGGAGTTTTCCAAATGGTGAAAATGGAGAAATGGAGATTTT